GTCCTCCATGGACAGGGTTAGAGATTTGTTGAACATATAGTTTCTTTACGGGCTATTCATGCCCGTGCCACCTCTTGGGTGGCTTAATCTTTATCAATCTATAGTTTCTTAACTTGTAGCCACGACTACAAGTTAGCTTTGGTTTATTTAGGTTGTCTTAGTTTACGCTAGGTTAGGTTATCTTGAGGTTATCTTGAGATGATTTCGGGGCTTAGCGTCCCCCGCGGCCCGATCCTCGACCAGGCCTCCTTTTTGTTACACACACCAGGGAAGGAGCCCGTAGCAGCTGTCTAACTCCCAGGTACCTATTTACTGCTAGGTGAACAAAGTTATCAGGGGTGAAAGAAACTGCCCATTTGTTTCCGCCTCCACCGGGAATCGAACCCGGAACCTCTGGACTACGAATACCGAGCGCTGTCTACTCAGCTGTCAGGGCCCCCTAATAAAAAAATGTTTCAATTTTCTCATACCACTGAACGTTGAGTCTCCAAGAGTCTGCTGTAATACATTCTTGTTCTGTAATACGTTCTGTAATACGTTCTGTAATACGTTCTGTAATATATTCTTGTACATTCGGGGAGCCGGTCGGACAGCACGCTGGACTTGTGATCCTGTGGTCCTGGGTTCGATCCCAGGCGCCGGCGAGAAACAACGGGCAGAGTTTCTTTCACCCTATGCCCCTGTTACCTAGCAGTAAAATAGGTACCTGGGTGTTAATCAGCTGTTACGGGCTGCTTCCTGGGGGTGGAGGCCTGGTCGAGGACCGGGCCGCGTGGGGACACTAAAAAGCCCCGAAATCATCTCAAGATAATCTCAAGATAACCTCAAGATAGTTTCTCCTCTGTCTCCAGCAGTCAGTCTTAATTAACTCTCCACCAAACAACCTTAACAATTAAATGGGAAGCTGAATTAACGATTCAGGAGAAAAAAGATATCTTATCTATTTGGAATGATTGTCGCTTCATTTTCGCGAGTGCAAATATAACTTACATTACCAAAACTAAACTTCTTTTCTTACTTCACTCAATGTTATGCATGTGTTTTACATGCATGTTTTACATGCATTTACATTTACATGCATGCAGGGAACTTGCATGTTATTATTCAAATTCCCTGCTAACTTAAAAATCTAAAATCATTACCAGAGTGATCAGGAAACCAATATGCAAATGACCATGGCGAGTTGTGTGTGGCTGTTGGGCTGTGCTATATTGCTTGTTTTGTGTTTGTTCTATTTTGTTTGTTCTATTTTATTTGTTCTATTTTGTTTGTTCAATATTGCAAGTTCTGTGTTGCAAGGTATTTATTGATATTTATTTTTTTATACTCTGTATTGCCACATACATTCTGTTTATTTTCCATTGTCAGTACTGTAGACCAAGATGTATCTCCTGGGCCCTGGCTTTTTAACTGTTGGTCGTAAAATAAAATGGTTTCAGATACCTGTGATATGTTCAAGTATCCAAAGGATACCTGATCAACCAGGCTGTGACTCATACGTCAGGCTGAGAGCAGCCGTTTCCAACAGCCTGGTTGATCAGTCCAGCAACCAGGAGGCCTGGTCGACGACCGGGCCGCGGGGACGCTAAGCACCTCAAGGTAACCTCAAGGTAACCTCAAGGTAACCTCAAGGTAACCTGTGTGTCTTGAAACTCCTAGTGCCTCCTCCTTATTGTTCCTGCACATTTGTTGTTGTTGTAGATTCAGCTACTCGGAACAAGTTCCAAGTAGCACGGGCTATGGTGAGCCCGTAATCCTGCACAGTGGTAAATGTATTCCTTGCAATCCTATGGAAACTAATCACCTACGTGATCTCTATAAGTACTTCTCCAAACATGACTCCTGTGTGTATGTGTTTTCTAGTGATACCTCTGTGTATTTTGTATGTCTTGATCATATTCATATTCTTTGGATTCACAATATTTATTATTAAGTGAATGTTTTTTGTCGCTACTCGTGGTTATGGCGTCGTAAGATTGGTGTTTATATTTACTTTATCGTCGAGGTGTTTAAAAGGGCTGCCAGTATTGGTCAGCTTAGCCTCTCAACACTGTATCATATACGTCGTGAACATGTCCACGAGGATACTTGCTTCTGATGCGTGCTGAGGGGGGGGGGCGTTCCTATCCCTGACTCCCAGGACTATCCCAGGACCAGGAGGGATTCTGGTGTGAACATTGGTATTATAATGTCCTTTCCAGGCCGCTCGTGGAGGGTTTTTTCATGTGAGCACCTCAGAACCCTTGCTACACCTCCAGTGAGGGCCCAGAACCCCTGCTACACCAGTGAGGGCCCAGAACCCCTGCTACACCACCAGTGAGGGCCCAGAACCCCTGCTACACCACCTGTGAGGGCCCAGAACCCCTGCTACACCTCCTGTGAGGGCCCAGAACCCCTGCTACACCTACAGTGAGGGCCCAGAACCCTGCTACACCTCCAGTGAGGGCCCAGAACCCCTGCTACACCTCCAGTGAGGGCCCAGAACCCCTGCTACACCTCCAGTGAGGGCCCAGAACCCCTGCTACACCTCCAGTGAGGGCCCAGAACCCCTGCTACACCTCCAGTGAGGGCCCAGAACCCCTGCTACACCACCAGTGAGGGCCCAGAACCCCTGCTACACCACCAGTGAGGGCCCAGAACCCCTGCTACACCTACAGTGAGGGCCCAGAACCCCTGCTACACCTCCAGTGAGGGCCAGAACCCCTGCTACACCACCTGTGAGGGCCCAGAACCCCTGCTACACCTCCAGTGAGGGCCCAGAACCCCTGCTACACCTCCAGTGAGGGCCCAGAACCCCTGCTACACCTCCAGTGAGGGCCCAGAACCCCTGCTACACCACCTGTGAGGGCCCAGAACCCCTGCTACACCTCCAGTGAGGGCCCAGAACCCCTGCTACACCTCCTGTGAGGGCCCAGAACCCCTGCTACACCTCCAGTGAGGGCCCAGAACCCCTGCTACACCTCCAGTGAGGGCCCAGAACCCCTGCTACACCTCCAGTGAGGGCCCAGAACCCCTGCTACACCACCTGTGAGGGCCCAGAACCCCTGCTACACCTCCAGTGAGGGCCCAGAACCCCTGCTACACCTCCAGTGAGGGCCCAGAACCCTGCTACACCACCTGTGAGGGCCCAGAACCCCTGCTACACCTCCAGTGAGGGCCCAGAACCCCTGCTACACCACCTGTGAGGGGCCAGAGCCCCTGCTACACCTCCAGTGAGGGCCCAGAACCCCTGCTACACCACCTGTGAGGGCCCAGAACCCCTGCTACACCTCCAGTGAGGGCCCAGAACCCCTGCTACACCACCTGTGAGGGCCCAGAACCCCTGCTACACCAGTGAGGGCCCAGAACCCCTGCTACACCTCCAGTGAGGGCCCAGAACCCCTGCTACACCACCAGTGAGGGCCCAGAACCCCTGCTACACCTCCAGTGAGGGCCCAGAACCCCTGCTACACCACCTGTGAGGGCCCAGAACCCCTGCTACACCTCCAGTGAGGGCCCAGAACCCCTGCTACACCACCTGTGAGGGCCCAGAACCCCTGCTACACCTAAAGTGAGGGCCCAGAACCCCTGCTACACCACCTGTGAGGGCCCAGAACCCCTGCTACGTCTCCAGTGAGGGCCCAGAACCCCTGCTACACCTCCAGTGGGGGCCCAGAACCCCTGCTACACCTCCAGTGAGGGCCCAGAACCCCTGCTACACCTCCAGTGAGGGCCCAGAACCCCTGCTACACCTCCAGTGAGGGCCCAGAACCCCTGCTACACCAGTGAGGGCCCAGAACCCTCGCAGCCGTCACCTCCCGGTGAAATATTCCTTGCTAACAATGGCTTCCGGATGAGGCCGGCGGGGATCGCCTTTACAGTTTCAACACGCCCGGCTGTGGCAGAGTTACTGTTTATTCTTTAATTTGGGTCTTCCTTAGTGGAGCGCCTGCGGTCTTGTCTGCTCTTTGGCTCGTCCTCCTCTTAAGGCACGAGGCCAGGATAGTACTCACCTAGTTGTGTTTGCGGGGGTTGAGCTTTGGCTCTTTGGTCCCGCCTCTCAACTGTCAATCAACTGGTGTACAGGTTCCTGAGCCTATTGGGCTCTTATCATATCTACACTTGAAACTGTGTATGGAGTCAGCCTCCACCACATCACTTCCTAATGCATTCCATAGTGTGTGTGTGTGTGTGTGTGTGTGTGTGTATTCAGTTGTGCTTGTGGGGATTGAGCTCTGCTCTTTCGGCCCGCCTCTCAACTGTTTCTACTACTATTTTTTTCTACACTACACACACACACCAGGAAGCAGCCCGTGACAGCTGAATAACTCCCAGGTACTTATTTACTGCTAGGTAACAGGGGCATAGGGTGAAAGAAACTCTGCCCATTTGTTTCCGCTATCGTCGGGGATCGATCCCCGGGCCATAGGACTACAAATCTAGAGCGCTGTCCACTCAGCCATCTGTGTGTTTAACCTAAATTTACTAAACCAGATGTTATTGCTGGATGGTTTTTCCTTTATTTACATTTTAAATTGTATTTTAGATTAAGATTTAGCCGCTTCTCTAACTCTTTCCTCTGACAAAGTTGTTGCTTATATCTCTCGACTCATTTCAGTTCCACATCATTGTTTACTTGTAAATTCTTACTAGAACCTTGTATGTCGTTGTCAAGTCTCCAGTGTTCCCTCTGTTCAGTTCCCCCAGTGGTCTGATCCCTCACATCAGAAATAGGGGTTCCTGTGAGGGGTCTCAGGAACCTGTGTGCTGGGAACACCCAATACACACAGGTTCGAATCCTTATCACAGCTCCTACGGATTTTCTCATCAAGGAGCTAATTTCCTGTCAAGAAACCGGATGGTTGTGGTACTTCCCTGTACCTTGTGGTACTTCACTGTGATCCCTTCCGTCTCATGTACAGCCTATCATTGCCACAGTGCACTTAATTGATTACACTGAAGATTAGAAAAGTTCACATATAATTATGATAAAGCACGAGGATGGAATAAAAAGACAATCAATCAATTCTAAACTATAATGAAAATACTTGTAATAATAATTACATGTTCCTTCTGACTCTTTCTTACCGAAGATCTAATTAAAACCAAGAAGGTTACAGCGCCGCAGTCTAACCGACCTCCAGTGTGGGTCTCCAAGACGTGGGTCTTGGAGAGGGTGCAGGGCGAGACGTGGGTCTTGGAGAGGGTGCAGGGCGTCTCCTGAGTCTGGGGGTCGTCTCAGACCCCCCCCCCCCCACTCCCCCCCAAGACTGCTTCTGATTTAGGCCCGATTCTGACATTCATGGTGGCTAATGGCTTGCATATGATTTAGAACACAAATGTTATCTAAGCAAGTTGCATGATAAGAGTTTCCTCGAGGATCTAGGTAGATGGAGCGAGGGAGGGGAAGAGAGGAAGAGAAAGAAAGGGAGGGAGGAAGGAGACAAAAAAGAAGAGAAGGAAGGATGGAGTTAGAAAGGGGAAAGACGATTTTGAGAGAGAGAGAGAGAGAGAGAGAGAGAGAGAGAGAGAGAGAGAGAGAGAGAGAGAGAGAGAGAGAGAGAGAGAGAGAGAGGAGAGAGAGGAGAGAGAGAGAGAGATGAGATGACTACAGTTACACAGGTCCCAAAGCCAACAGCGAATCCCTACTATTGCACCAGATATTTGACAAAGCGACGTCACCACGAAGCTAATCCCCTGCTAAAGCTCCCGGAGCAGAGAGGTATTTATGATGCGAGGTCAGGGACTACGAGGCCACAGTCAGTGATGGTCACGTCGGTGACGGGGTCGTGCCGGACAGCGGCTCGTATTACCTCCATGCCTGATAGCACCTCGCCGAAGGGACACTGGAAGACCCCGCCGAGTTGTCCTCTGGTGCAGATCCCGAAGCCGTGCGTGTCTGTTCCGTAGTAGGAACCCATGACCACACCCTCCTTCGCCGGGCCCGCGAACTTCCCGCCCCATTCTAGATCGGCCATCAGTATCCGGTTGCTGGTGCTGCCATCCGGAAGTACGTATCGGCGAGAGTCCAGAGTCTCTCTCTCCTGGTTGGGAGCGGTGATGACGAAGGAGGCGCCGACGTAGGAAGGCCCAAGAATGCCGAGGCAGAGTAGCATGAACTGCTGCGCTCGTCGAAGATGAGTCTGGACCAGGATGTGAACACGACCCAAACACCTCCCATCAACCCCCAGCTCCAAGAACACCTCCGACGGCATCTGCAGAAAAGGGCTTTGTAAATATTATTTACAAATAAAATTATGTTTTTGTGTCAAAGGTGTGTGCGGATTACAGCATAACTATAATATAAATATTTTGGTTCCTAGCCATTTCCTGCACTTGTGTCTTGATAGCAACAACACAGTGATGAGGTATAGTGTTTTGTCTCATTAGGGATCTCACTCGCGTTGTTTACATGCTGGCTGTGCAGCACGGTGCCCCCCCTTCCTGTAGCACGGTGCTCCCCTCCCCTGCAGCACGGTGCTTCCCCCCCCCTGCAGCACGGTGCTCCCCCCCCCTGTAGCACGGTGCTTCCCCCCCCCCTGCAGCACGGTGCTCCCCCCCCCTGTAGCACGGCTGCTGCTTTCCCCACCCCCCTGCAGCACGGTGCTCCCCCACCCTGTAGCACGGTGCTTTCCCCCCCCCTGTAGCACGGTGCTTTCCCCACCCCCCTGCAGCACGGTGCCCCCCCTTCCTGTAGCACGGTACTTTCCCCTCCCCCCTGCAGCACGGTGCTTTCCCCCCCACGGTGCCCCCCCTGTAGCACGGTGCTTTCCCCCTTTCCCCCCCCCCCTGCAGCACGGTGCTTCCCCCCCCCCTGTAGCACGGTGCTTCCCCCCCCCCCTGTAGCACGGTGCTTCCCCCCCCCACCCCCCCCCTGTAGCACGGTGCTTCCCCCCCCTGTAGCACGGTGCTTCCCCCCCCCCCCCTGTAGCACGGTGCTTCCCCACCCCCCTGTAGCACGGTGCTTTCCCCCCCCCTGCAGCACGGTGCTTTCCCCCCTGTAGCACGGTGCTTCCCCCCCCCTGTAGCACGGTGCTTCCCCCCCCCCCTGTAGCACGGTGCTTCCCCCCCCCCCTGTAGCACGGTGCTTCCCCCCCCCCTGTAGCACGGTGCTTCCCCCCCCCTGTAGCACGGTGCTTTCCCCCCCCCCCTGCAGCACGGTGCTTCCCCCCCCTGCAGCACGGTGCTTCCCCCCCCCCTGCAGCACGGTGCTCCCCCCCCCCCTGCAGCACGGTGTTCCCCCCCCCTGCAGCACCGTGCTCCCCCCCCCTGCAGCACGGTGCTTCCCCCCCCTGTAGCACGGTGCTTCCCCACCCCCCTGTAGCACGGTGCTTTCCCCACCCCCCTGCAGCACGGTGCTTCCCCCCCCTGTAGCACGGTGCTTTCCCCCCTGCAGCACGGTGCTTTCCCCCCTGCAGCACGGTGCTTTCCCCCCCCCTGCAGCACGGTGCTTTCCCCCCCCCCTGCAGCACGGTGCTTTCCCTCCCCCCTGTAGCACGGTGCTCCCCCCCCCCCTGCAGCACGGTGCTTTCCCCACCCCCCTGCAGCACCGTGCTCCCCCCCCCTGCAGCACGGTGTTCCCCCCTTGCAGCACGGTGCTCCCCCCTGGGAGTTAGTCAGCTGTCACGGGCTGCTTCTTGGAGGTGGAGGCCTGGTCGAGGACCGGGCCGCGGGGACACTAAAGCCCCGAAATCATCTCAAGATAACCCCCTGCAGCACGGTGCTCCCCCCCCCCCCCCTGCAGCACGGTGCTCCCCCCCCCCCCCCCTGCAGCACAGTGCCCCCCCCCCCATCCCTGCAGCACAGTGCCCCCCCCCCCCCCCCAGCACGTGTGTCTTCAACCTGTAGCATTAATGAGAATCATGTGCTCGCACAAATAGCCTAATGAAGGAACAAGTTTCAATACCACGAGGTCGGTGGACCACAACTACACATCAATATACATACAGCCTTAAACACGTCTGGGCAATACCTGCACAAAGAGGCGGGAGTCGACACGTGGCGTGAAGGAGTGAAGAAGCAGTTTGCCGCCCCTGTAGTCCAGTCGGGAACGCTGGCTGACGGCCGGGACGCAGTCAGCCGCCGTCAGCTGCTGTCCCACGGCGCCACTGACGCTTGGGTCTGTAGCCATGTCCTCGGAAACCGATGAGTCGTCGTCGTCAGTGGCATCATCGTCATCAGCCTCGTCGCCTGCAGGTGAAAACTGGAGTAGCTGCTTGTCTTCGAGGCTTTTCACCTTCACCTCCGCTACTAAAATAGCCTCAAGGTTCCCCGAGTCTTCAACCTCTTTTGAGAGCTCCGCGACGTCTTTTCCAACCTCGTGGAGTCGATTGCACTTGTAACAAAGTCTCTTGATTTTCAAAACGCAGCTGCTGACTTTTTGAGCAATTTCCCTTTTCTTTTCAGTTACGCTATCCTGGTAGGCTTTGATCTGGGCTTGCAGGGAGCGTTTCTTCTCCTGGAGACAGACCTTAGAGGGGCGGACATCGTGGCCTGGCGGGTGGCCGAAGTAGAGACACAGCCCACACAAGGGCATCTCACACTCCCGGCACCAGTAGCTCAGTTCTCCACGGTGTTCCCGGCACATCTCACGCTGCGGGAGAACATACACTAATTTAGTACGTAGTGCTCGAGAGAAAGCACTAAGTCAGGATAGCCATAAGACACTTTATATTTTAAAAATCATTCAAGAGCTTCTTAAAATCAGTCATGAAAACATTAGGACACCAGCAGGGGCTCTAAGTGCATACATAAACATACAAAAAACTAGTGATGGAGAGTAGCCCCCCCCCAAGAGTGATGGAGAGTACCCCCCCCCCCCCAGAGTGATGGAGAGTAACCCCCCCCCCCCAAAGTGATGGAGCGCAGGGGGGGGGGGGGGGAGAAAGAAAGAAAGAGAAATAGAGATGCATGAACAAAAACACACAATAACAGGGAAGACTCTACAGCTTGAGAAAATAATACAAGAGGTGAAGTGTTAATACATCAAGTCTGGTGTGAGTGACTGACAAGTCCCCGAGCTTGGCCTGGGGCCAGCACGCTACTGCCCAGCCACACCCAGCCTGCATCGACTTCAATTATTGGGGAACAAAATGAATGTTTCTCGGGGACAGACGCCGCTGAATTGTGCTGTGTGACCAAAGAGCCACTGTTCAACCCCCAGTAAGCTTTATTAAGTAAATACACTCAGGCATGTACAAACACACAAATGAGGATCGGACATCAGATGACCAGTAATTAAGACCCAGGAGATGGAACTCAACCCCCTACAAAACAGCGCGACAAAATACAAGTTCGAGAGATTTACCTGAATTACCTGACTTCCCATGTAGGTGGCTGATAGCCCGAGCAGGGAGAAGCAGAGAGGTACCTTGTCCATCTCCAGGTGGCTGTGGTCTCTGCGGCAGGTCGGGCAGAGGAAGTCGGGGGAGGAGTGGAGGTTGAAGAGGCAGCTGCGGCAGAAGGTGTGGCCGCAGGGCAGCACCAGGGGCTCGCGGGGCCCCTTCTGGTACACCTCAGAACACACGGCGCAGGTCACTGCCTCCTCCATACCGCCTGTGTCCGCAAGCGCTCAGTCTGGTAATTAATAAACATGCGCAGTTCAGAATCATAGGACGTTATAAAAAAATATAAAAAATGCATCAAGCCGGGATTAATACGTAGCATGTGTAATAAGTGCATTCATACAGGGCGAGATTTGCCTCCCTAATCCCATGTCAGTGTGTTGAGGGAGTAATTGTGTCAATGACGGGCGAGCAAACGTTAACCAGCTAACACAACATCAATAATACTTAAGCATGTGCTCGCGGACGGTCTCTCCAGTCACAAGCAAAGTTCACATTAACTCCAAAAATCTACAACTTGCGGGCTATTCATGCCCATGTAGCTCTTGTAGTGGCTTAATTTTCATCAATCAATCGACGATCACTCTACTAGCCAGAGGTCACACACGGCACTCTAGTGCATGATAATGTATATACTGTAATATGTATTACATATCTATAATATGCGCTTCTCCACTGGATATATACATGTATCATGTCTATATACATATTTATCGAATATCAAGGAGTATGCAGTAACACGTATCATTAAACTTTATATTAAAGTTTCCTTTACCGTATTGAACTAACTCACCTGCGCCGTCCTCACTCGCACTGGGAAACAATTGCAAAGACGTTTCATGAACATAGTTTTGGGTTATATCATCCACCCCTCCTGGGACTGCAGCACTTACCTCGGTGGGTTCATGTTCTGGTACACTGTCCTACAGTAATGGCGGAAAGTCATGTTCACGACTAATGTTGATACGTTCTGTTGCCTCCACCTGGCAGGCAGCAGCCTAGTTCTGCCCGAAACGCTGCGCGTGCTAGTGGCTTTACAAGACTGTAATTACCATATTTGTATCCTCACATTCCTTATGTACATTCTTGTATATGCATAAATAAATAAATAGTGACCAGTACGCCCACACTTTAAACAAATTTTTATTTGTCCATTGTTATATTTAATATATTGACCTGCTACAGACACTGATAAAGAAATATTACGGTGAAGTTTCATTTTCACTGTTCTTGTACCATTGAAACATCCCTTTCCTGCTCCAAAAGTATATTTATTGAAACGAGCATATACGCACTTCCCCATATTGTTCAAGTATGCGAGTAATAGTTCCATTCAACATTCCAAAGGGCTCATCCCTCACAGAAACCTATGTACACGTCTTATTCAAATTAATCACTTGCACCGACCCTTTCCCATTAGACAGACTCATAAGGCCATCATCATACTTCTGCAAAAACTCTGAAAACGTCACACTGTTTTCAAATTTCACCACCACTCTGTTTCCTGACAGTAGTTGAAAAATCCAAACAATTCCTCCATCTTGACCTGTAGCACATCGAAGATCGTAGTACAGACAAGGCCATAATCAGTCCAGCACACTCCTTCAGCTTAAATCGAGGTGTGTAGGATGTTGTTGTTGTTATAGATTCAGCTACTCGGAACAAGTTCCAAGTAGCAAGGGCTATGGTGAGCCCGTAACTTACCTGGCACAGGAGCGGGGCAAGTAGCAAGGGCTATGGTGAGCCCGTAACTTACCTGGCACAGGAGAGCGTCTCCCGTCTATAGTGTGTAGGAGCCTCGACGGCACATATACCACCCCCCGTCTATAGTGTGTAGGAGCCCATGACGGCACATATACCACCCCCCGGAACATTAGTGAGTCGACAGGTTAATGAGCAAACACGTCAGCCGTAAGCAGTGACAAACAAGGCTGCCCACCACACGCCAGCAAACCAGACCAATCACAAACGCGTCTACTCACCACCACGTCCAGGACGCTAACTAATTTTTTTACCTCGTAAAATTTCACGATTCTCAACAACAACAAAATTAACAATAGAGTATGTAAACATGTATTTTGAATGTTTCCGAGGCTTTTTGGGATTAGTTGATCAAATCTGACCACCTACAGTACGGGGCATTTGCCCTCTTAGCTTTTTTTTTTTTTTTAAGAGCCTAGCTTTTTAGCTGCTTTTTTTAAGTTTTAGTTTTTACAAAAATTGTCTAACTCTTAAGTATTGTTTACATTACTAGTATTGTTAGTAATGGTAATGTCTTCTCACAGACATAATAATATAGGATAAAAGTCCACACTTGCATATTTGTGAAATTTATGTAAGGAATTTACACCAAATCTTTCGCACTCCTGAGTGCTTTATTAAAGTCTGAGTGTATAATTAGGACGAGACTTACATCTCAACGTCTAACTAGACATTGAGATGTTAGTTTCGTTTAATCTGTGATTAGATGCTGAGTCTCATCCTAATCACACACTCAGACTTCGATAAAGTACTCAGGAGAGTGCGAAAGACTTTGTATAAATTCCTTACAAAAATTTCACACATACACAAGTGAGGGTTTTTATCCTATATAATTGCTGTTAATAATAATAATATTATTATTATTATTTATCACTGACAACTGCCAGGATCGGCAATACTGGAAGTTGCCAATTATTATTTATTTACCGCTCTTGTTGTTGAAAACTGACAACATTATCATATTAATTGAATACGTCATTACAAAGTACATATTAAGTTGTTTATATTGGTAGCTCCATCTTCCTAATACGAGCCATTTACAGGTTCCAAAAACGCACGAGATATGCTGCCTTGCTCGCATTAGGCTGCAATCCAGCACTCAGTATTCAAGTGTGGCCCCCGCACCTAAGCCTATGACATCAGAGGCCCAGCTGGAGCGGCAAATTTCACCGGCTGACAAGGTAATATCAAAGTAAATAAATATAAGAATTTTGGAGAATTTTATATTTTTACGGAAAATCTCAAAACGGGGTGAGAATAGCTTGAGCTACCTCATCCCTTTGTGTGTATTTTACCTCAATAAACTTATTTCAATTTCAATTTCAATTTCAAGGTAATATCAAAGAAATCATTCGTATGGTAAAAATCTTTTGTAATCATCGCTAACATCCCTTACGGTTTTCTAATTTGAATTGTCAAGCCGTGTGTTGGTTAGGTCAGAAACATGCATGAAAATTTAATTGAAGGCTTCTACAACTGTTGAGAATTCGTATAGCGCTCTGAGAATAGCCATTATTATTTTATATAGTTTAGTTGATTTATTAAGCACCCCTATCCCCATCCTGAAAAGGTTATAAGAACATAAGAACAAAGGTAACTGCAGAAGGCCTATTGGCCCATACGAGGCAGCTCACGCATAATACTTGATAGGCTAGTTACAGGTTTGAATGTATGTAAAGTTTTTTATAGCAAATAATGGGCTCAGAGACTGAATATAAAAGTTACGACTTGACAAGCCACATACGTCAAGTCAGTCATATATGGCTTCTAATCATATGCGTCAACACACTATTAATCAGTCTTTTATCAAATTAACATCACCGTGATGCCAAAAGGCCCTAAATACAACGAGTGATCAGTGTCACATTATGGGTCCCAAGATAGAGGCGGCTGCCTGTGCCTAGCCTGTAATTTATTCTGAATACAATTTACTTCATTTCCAATTAGGAATTTGCCCATTGCACCGAATGTCAATGTTTACGCGTGTTTAATGATGGATAATGTGATGCTTAAAATAATATATGTATAGCTGTTGTGTAGGTATACGAATAACTTTAAATGTATAATTTATTTAATAAAGTCATATTTCTATGCGTTTCCTCTATTGCATTCTGGGTTACTGCAGTTACCCGCTCTATTATCAAAACCTATTGTCTATATTGTGACTTGTGGTCGATCTCGAACCCATTGATGATGTGACGATGTGCATTGAATTTTGTAACTAGTTCAAGATTGTAACTTGCTTAGCTAAATGAATTGTGGGGTTCAGTCCCTGAGCCCATTATGTGCCTCTGTAACCCTTTCCACTACCGCCCACAAGATGGGTATGGGGTGCATAATAAATGAACTAGACTAAAAGTAACAAATATATATATATATTGTCGTCTTGAAAGCGACACCCCTTTAACTTCAATCTGACCAAATATTGTGTCCTGCTTCGATATCTATCTGGACAGTGAATCATAATTATTTCCCAAATATAATGTTTACAGTGTTGCCAGCTGCGCCTCCTGGCACCTCATCACGTCGTACCGCACTCACTCTCATCCTCCACGATACGCATTTTTTTGTTTAGCATACATATTGAATGCTTTATTGAGGATCATTAGCATAAAACAAATTATATGTATTTCTTGTTAGTAGCTGCATTCACGCCTGCATACTATACATCACACAATGAAATTAATCATTCGTCTGGCAGTGCGGGGCAAAAACGCAATAATGAATCGTGTCTATTTGCTTTGTGGCCGAAGACAATAGCAACACAGGAATACAAGGTCATTTTAGCGTCATTTACGCAATATATATACTTATCCCAGTATACTCACATGGAGTTGAGCTTGTAATAAACGCGGTGAGTACGAAGAGGAGTGAGCAGCAGCAGCAAGAGACGAAGCTACAGTAGTGAGTACACAGAGCTTCCGCAGACGGCACTGAACAGCTGTACTCCAGACTGATAATCACTCGCATATTATCACTTTTCCCCCGCCTTAAACACTATAATAAATGTTATATTCACGTAGCCAATGGCGCCAGGAGTTTCTATGAAAGTAATAGTGGGTTTAGGGGCACGTGAGGATGGGTGTACCACAGGAAAAAGTTGGGGTTTAAAATAAAACAGCGAGGGACCCAGCGCCAGGGAATGGCAGTAGGGCAGCCGGCGTGTGTTGTCAAGTCTCATCTGACCTTTAGCTGTTCATGCCCCAAGTAATCCACATTTTCCACCCATTACAACAGTTGTAAGTACCCGCACAATGCTGCTTCTCACGCAACGTGTATGTCGCAAGCAAGTAGGGCGTGTCGGGGTATGGTTTTTTTATGGGGGATTAGTTTAACGAGACGATAATGGTGAACAATGGTCCACTGTTTAGGCGTTAGACCATATTTACTACTTAGCAACTCGTCATCGAGGGTTGATAAGTAATATATTGTCGGAATTACCAGACAAGCCGCCACATGGTGACAAAAATGTAAATATTAATTTAGTGTAATGCTATTAAAGGTTGTATTAGATTTAATAGTTCAAATAATAATTAAAAAATAGACATACTGTACTTAGACTTAGTACACTTACACACACATGGTTAGATAGCTTACAAATGTTAATAGTAAGGTGAGGTGAGGCTTCAAAGATTTGAAATGGTAATTCTAGTTTGAATTCAACAAATCTGTTTGTAATAGGTTAATGATTTGTTCGTATTTCTGTCCGCTGGTGTTTAACGATGGCGTTGAACTGCTACCAGTTCCATAGACATTGTTCTAACATTGCTTTAGTTCTTTGATAACGAGTTTTTTTTTCTCAAAATCAGGGTCAAGTTCTTCTACAGTGGGTATAGTGTAATGATAGTGACCTTTCCAGCGCCGCCCTCTGGATGCATGTATGATGTGTATATTTAAGTTATATGTAACTAGTTCACCCTTGAACTCATTATGTGACATTGAAACCTTTTCTTCCACTCACGCACTGGATGGGAATGGGGTCAATAAAAGCTACTATGGGGTCAAACTATGTTCAAATGAACAAATCCACAAGGGCCGTGACGAGGATTCGAACCCTTGTGGATTTGTTCATTTGATGCATCACGTTAGTGTGATCTCTGTGTGTAAGTCAAATTATGTTAGTTTAATTAACTGTAAGTAGACTGTTGATGCATGTGTTGACAATATTACTAGCTTATCAAGGCTGTAACTTGCTTAGCTAAATTGGGAATCATTTTCCAGGCTTATCGAGTTGTTGTTTTTAGATTCATCTACTCGGAATAAAATATTTCAAGTAGCAAGGGCTATGATGAGCCCGTAGTGGACTTACCTGGCATAGGAGCGGGGCTGAAACTCAAATGGATTGGCTTATCGAGGTCCCTCTATGACAACTACTAATCTTTCCCAGGTTAGTCGTTACCAACCCACAACAGTTCACTAATTCTTGGATATATGTTTACTGTTAAGTGAACTAGGTGAAAGCAAAAGTTACCCAAACACTTATGTCTTGTCGCGGGAATTGAACCCGGGACCGTTCAGCGGTGATTCGACATTTATTATGATGTAATAAATTACATAAATAATAAATAAAATTATAATTAAAGTCAATCAAAACTTCTGGGTTTTTCTTGGGGGGTTCACAACACAACACACAGATCTAAGATTTTAGGTACATTATTCAAATGAACCGAATGTTTACTGAACATCTTGACTTTACTTAATTAACCTGATTTTCCCCTCTCTGCAAATGTCTTACCGGGGTGGCCACATTCAGAATTAATCATTCCGAACTTGGCCACTTAGTTCTTAAACACTACCATTTGGTTCTTAAGACAAGACCCAGTGAGATCCAAGCTATGCGGATCATTTTATATATATATATATATATATATATATATATATATATATATATATATATTAGTATATTTTGGTAGCAGTCTTTCCTGTAGACATATTTTATTAAATATGACCGAAAAAGTAAGATTAATAATTCTAACACGAATTTTCTCAATCTTTCGTACATTATGCTTCACTATTGGAGGTAAATCAAAAATCACTTCTCCAAAATTCATTTTTATTTCTAGTCTGACGCGACACGGGCGCGTTTCGTAAAACTTATTACATTTTCAAAGACTTCACAAATACACAACTGATTAGAACTTGCGTTTCCCTGGTTTTATATCTACATTTGAGTGAGGTGGGAAGGGTGATGTGGCATTACATTTGAGTAAGGTGGGAAGGATGATGTGGCATTAGAGGATATTAATAGGGTATTAAAAGTATCAACACAAGACAGAACACGAAACAATGGATATTGAATAGAAGTGTTTGTAGAAAGCCTATTGGTCCATATTTCTTGATGCTTCTATATTGGAGCGGAGTCTTGAGGTGGGTAGAATATAGTTGTGCAATAATTGGCTGTTGATTGCTGGTGTTGACTTCTTGATGTGTAGTGCCTCGCAAACGTCGAGCCGCCTGCTATCGCTGTATCTATCGATGATTTCTGTGTTGTTTACTAGGATTTCTCTGGCGATGGTTTGGTTATGGGAAGAGATTATATGTTCCTTAATGGAGCCCTGTTGTTTATGCATCGTTAAACGCCTAGAAAGAGATGTTGTTGTCTTGCCTATATACTGGGTTTTTGGAGCTTACAGTCCCCAAGTGGGCATTTGAAGGCATAGACGACGTTAGTCTCTTTTAAAGCGTTCTGTTTCGTGTCTGGAGAGTTTCTCATGAGTAGGCTGGCCGTTTTTCTGGTTTTATAGTAAATCGTCAGTTGTATCCTCTGATTTTTGTCTGTAGGGATAACGTTTCTATTAACAATATCTTTCAGGACCCTTTCCTCTGTTTTATGAGCTGTGGAAAAGAAGTTCCTGTAAAATAGTCTAATAGGGGGTATAGGTGTTGTGTTAGTTGTCTCTTCGGAGGTTGCATGGCTTTTCACTTTCCTTCTTATGATGTCTTCGATGAAACCATTGGAGAAGCCGTTATTGACTAGAACCTGCCTTACCCTACAGAGTTCTTCGTCGACTTGCTTCCATTCTGAGCTGTGGCTGAGAGCACGGTCGACGTATGCGTTAACAACACTCCTCTTGTACCTGTCAGGGCAGTCGCTGTTGGCATTTAGGCACATTCCTATGTTTGTTTCCTTTGTGTAGACTGCAGTGTGGAAACCTCCGCCCTTTTCCATGACTGTTACATCTAGAAAAGGCAGCTTCCCATCCTTTTCCGTCTCGTAAGTGAAACGCAGCACGGAACTCTGCTCAAATGCCTCCTTCAGCTCCTGCAGATGTCTAACATCAGGTACCTGTGTAAAAATGTCGTCAACATACCTGCAGTATATGGCCGGTTTCAAGTTCATGTCGACTAAGACTTTTTGCTCGATGGTACCCATGTAGAAGTTTGCAAACAGGACACCTAGGGGAGAACCCATAGCGACCCCATCTACTTGCTTATACATGTGCCCATCCGGGCTCAAGAAGGGTGCCTCTTTAGTACAAGCTTGGAGTAGTTTCCTCAGAATACTTTCTGGCATGTCAAAGAAGGTCACTACCAAAGATACCTTACAAGCAGAACTTATTGCAGAAGGAGGAAAGAATCGAGGCAACTACAGAAGCACCATACTGTCCCCCGAGCTTAGAGCGGCAGCTAAAAGCCTTCGTGAGAACAAGGAGATAGTTGTCAGGAGAGGTGACAAGTCGCCAATATATGTCATTCTTAAAAAAGACGAATATCTGGCGAAAATGAACATCATACTCTCTGACCAAACTAAGTTCCAAAGGGTAACGAAGGACACTACAGCCGAATTAAAAGCAAAGGTCAACAAACTGATCGAAACTGTGAACGCCAAGAAATCCGGACTCCACCTGCCAAAGATCATTGGGGAATATAAACCTGGATATGCGTATGGAAATGTCAAGACGCACAAGCCTGGAAACCCACTTCGGCCAATCATTAGCCAGATACCCACACCCACGTACAGATTGGCGAAGCGACTCAACGGCCTGCTGACTCCTTATGTTCCTTGCGCCTTCAGCCTGAAGTCTCCAAAGGAATTTGTGGACTTACTGCGGGGCGCACGGGCCACAGGGATAAGAGCCTCGTTGGACGTAGAATCGCTGTTTACCAATGTACCTGTGGACGAGACAATCGGAATGATAGCCGACAGAGTGTATCGTGATCCAGCCTGTACTCCTCTTGACATGCCAGAAAGTATTCTGAGGAAACTACTCCAAGCTTGTACTAAAGAGGCACCCTTCTTGAGCCCGGATGGGCACATGTATAAGCAAGTAGATGGGGTCGCTATGGGTTCTCCCCTAGGTGTCCTGTTTGCAAACTTCTACATGGGTACCATCGAGCAAAAAGTCTTAGTCGACATGAACTTGAAACCGGCCATATACTGCAGGTATGTTGACGACATTTTTACACAGGTACCTGATGTTAGACATCTGCAGGAGCTGAAGGAGGCATTTGAGCAGAGTTCCGTGCTGCGTTTCACTTACGAGACGGAAAAGGATGGGAAGCTGCCTTTTCTAGATGTAACAGTCATGGAAAAGGGCGGAGGTTTCCACACTGCAGTCTACACAAAGGAAACAAACATAGGAATGTGCCTAAATGCCAACAGCGACTGCCCTGACAGGTACAAGAGGAGTGTTGTTAACGCATACGTCGACCGTGCTCTCAGCCACAGCTCAGAATGGAAGCAAGTCGACGAAGAACTCTGTAGGGTAAGGCAGGTTCTAGTCAATAACGGCTTCTCCAATGGTTTCATCGAAGACATCATAAGAAGGAAAGTGAAAAGCCATGCAACCTCCGAAGAGACAACTAACACAACACCTATACCCCCTATTAGACTATTTTACAGGAACTTCTTTTCCACAGCTCATAAAACAGAGGAAAGGGTCCTGAAAGATATTGTTAATAGAAACGTTATCCCTACAGACAAAAATCAGAGGATACAACTGACGATTTACTATAAAACCAGAAAAACGGCCAGCCTACTCATGAGAAACTCTCCAGACACGAAACAGAACGCTTTAAAAGAGACTAACGTCGTCTATGCCTTCAAATGCCCACTTGGGGACTGTAAGCTCCAAAAAACCCAGTATATAGGCAAGACAACAACATCTCTTTCTAGGCGTTTAACGATGCATAAACAACAGGGCTCCATTAAGGAACATATAATCTCTTCCCATAACCAAACCATCGCCAGAGAAATCCTAGTAAACAACACAGAAATCATCGATAGATACAGCGATAGCAGGCGGCTCGACGTTTGCGAGGCACTACACATCAAGAAGTCAACACCAGCAATCAACAGCCAATTATTGCACAACTATATTCTACCCACCTCAAGACTCCGCTCCAATATAGAAGCATCAAGAAATATGGACCAATAGGCTTTCTACAAACACTTCTATTCAATATCCATTGTTTCGTGTTCTGTCTTGTGTTGATACTTTTAATACCCTATTAATATCCTCTAATGCCACATCATCCTTCCCACCTTACTCAAATGTAATGCCACATCACCCTTCCCACCTCACTCAAATGTAGATATAAAACCAGGGAAACGCAAGTTCTAATCAGTTGTGTATTTGTGAAGTCTTTGAAAATGTAATAAGTTTTACGAAACGCGCCCGTGTCGCGTCAGACTAGAAATAAAAATGAATTTTGGAGAAGTGATTTTTGATTTACCTCCAATAGTGAAGCATAATGTACGAAAGATTGAGAAAATTCGTGTTAGAATTATTAATCTTACTTTTTCGGTCATATTTAATAAAATATATATATATATATATATATATATATATATATATATATATATATATATATATATATATATATATATATATATATATATATATATATATATATATATATATATTGCAAGACACCTTTCAGGCAGACCCTACAGAGAGGTGCAAGACTTAAGGATGACATTTGCTTAAGGTTGACATTTGTTTAATGATGATATTTGCTCTTGGTGCCATTGTAATTATAGTGTTGGCAGTAACTTCTATACTGGGTCGTGAGAGCAAGTTGCAATTGCAATTAAAGCAACAACAGGTCAGCAAACTACCTCTCATCTCTTTGTTTACTTCATTAGTGTCCCCTCTTACTCTATACCTGTCTTCACAGGATGGCTGGAGAGGAAGGTCCTTATTCCCAGGATTACCTGTTGTATATTTCAGAATAATGTATATATAATTTGCTGTATAGTCGAAGTTAGGTCTCAGAGGAGCAAGGTGAAGTTGAAATATGACATTATTCGTTTTTATTCCTAACACTTCTATATTTAAATCTTTTTTACCCTATTAGCCTCATTTTAATATTTAGGCTTTATTTGTTCATTTTTAGATTTGTTCATTTAGGGATTGGTTTTGTGGTTTTAAGTCCCTACTAATCATGAAAGATTTAAGCTCATATCTGGTACTGCTGTTTTCTTTCTCTGGGCTTTCAATCCTTCACTTGACAATGCTGAACTGCAACGGCAAATTTTCCCTTGTCTGTTATCTAGTATGTTGTCTAATAGATCTTTAATTCTGTCCACGGAGGACAGAAGAAAATGTATACAATTAAGCATATGGTCTCTGAGGAGGCGTATAGTCCACGAGAGGGAGCAGAGACATGAATCAGGATAAACACAAAATCACGATATGAAATTCTTGTACATAAAATATCAGAAGGGAGTACTTGAAGGGAGTGACTATGATAGTTCCTCTCCCTCCACCCCACATTTTCTCTAAATTTCCTTTTACTAATTTGCTTTTAATGTTCTCTTTTTACAATTTGGCTCCTGTTCTACAACGCCCCACTGTTCATCACCTTTCTCACTGGCAATGAGGTCTCTCCGCCCTTTCCCCCTTTTATGTTCACGGTTTTTTGTCTTTGTAAAAGTACTAGGGAATTGTGTAATCTGTCGATGGAAACTTTTTTTTTATCTATATTCATTTATATTTTTATACACATAATAATTGAATATTGTTTCATCAACTATACATATTGATAAATATATTTTGTTAAATGAACATCAGACCATGTGTTATTTACAAAATGACCGTTAGGTAATTTACAAAATGACCGTTAGGTAATTTACAAAATGACCTTTAGGTAATTTTCAAAATAATCTTTAGGTAATATACAAAATGATCTTTAGGTAATTTATAAAATGACCTTTAGGTAATTTACAAAATGACCTTTAGGTAATTTACAAAATGACCTTTAGGTAATTTACAAAATTACCTTTAAGGTGGTTTACAAAATGAGGTCCACAAGACTAGGAAATGGATCCTAACTTCTTGCTCTGAGTGAACAGCATTTAGTATCAGACTTTTATTATTATTAACATCTTTATTGACAAAATTAATTACAATTTTGCCTAATCTGAGGACTAGTATCAGACTAGTCCAGATGAGGAATAGAGCAAGGACTGGTGAAACCATGTTACGACATCGAACGCATGTCCCCAATGCCGACTAGAACGTAGCGCTTGTGTGGTCAGGACGTGGTGTGATGCGTCAGGTCAGAGGTCACGAGGCCACAGTATGACCTTGGTGACGGGGTCAGGACGTGATGGGGTCGTGTCAGGTCAGGGATCACGAAACCACAGTGTGACCTTGGTGACGGGGTCAAGACGTGATGGGTTGTGTCAGGTCAGGGATCACCAGGCCACAGTCAGTGATGGTGACCTCAGTGACGGGGTCATGACGGACAGCAGACTGGACCACCTCCAGCCCTGACGACACCTGACCGAAGGGACTGGAGAAGTTAGCACCTGGCTTCCCTCGAGTGCAGATACCGAAGCCATAATTGTTAACATCGTTGGAGTAGGCCACCACCAGGCCCTGCCGAGGTTCGCTGCCGTATTCGCCGTCCCACTCCATGTCCAACATCAGCGCCCTGTAGCCAGTCCCTCCGCCAGGAGAACAATATTCTGTACACCAGATAGTTTCTCGCTCCTTATCCATATCTGAAACACTCTTGAAGGAGGCGCCGACGTGGGAAGGCCCCAGAGTGCCGAGGCAGAGAGCCAGGAACTGGTGTGCCCGTCGAAGATGGCTCCACAGCTGGATATAGACACGACCCAGACACCGGCCACCGGCACTCAGTTCCAAGAACACCTCAGATGGCAGCTAGAACAAGATTACAAATGTTAATCAGTACATTACTCTACGTAAATGTACGTACTCCAAAAAAAATTTCTTCCACCAGCTTTAGGCTATGGAAGAACACAAATCCGTTATTTATTTATGAATTATATTATTTTATGCCTAGGATCGGCTTGAAAGCCGTATTACGGGAATTATATGAAGACTTTATGGATATCCTGACGACGACTGGTATTTTCCCGCTTGTTCTCTTGATAATACGCCTCACAACTCTTGAAATCTAATTTAAATTCAAAATAATTGTATTGCAACAGAAGAGTGAATTAAATCAAGTTAAGTTTTTTTATTACACAACGAGCAGTTCCAGCAATGACACTCCGCACATTTTAGAATGAAAATCGTTGATATAGTCACGAGAAATTCAACGTTTCAAACATGACAATTGAATTTCCAGTTGATGCTATGAGAGGCTTTGCCCATCCTTGCCTCACCTCGATCTCTTTAAGGCATATATAGAATTCCTCTTCGAAACAACAATTATATATTACAAAATGATGTGTCTGTAATTTGCAATTAATATTTTACGTAATATTCATTTGTATTTAAGTGATATCAGCAGATTTTATTCAGTAATAATTATATCAATAAATGGCATATTCGGCCCTGTAAACATTTGGGCAAGAACACGCACACACACACGTACATAGAGGAGAGATAAGTACAACCTTCAAAAAGGCTATTTTCTATGTATGCGAAAACATAGGACAAGTAGAAGAAGGTGGAAACTGGAAACGCTATTGAGTCGAAGTAATGAAAAGAAATATTCGTACTCTGTACGGATGGACAAGTGAAATACACTGAAGTGGGTCACCTTTACCCATAATTTCTAGGCCAGATATGACTGTTACGTAGCCACTATTAAGTAAGCACACGCACACACATGGAAGCTAGAAATGAATATATTCGATTTAGTAGGGAGACAAAAAGACAACTTGAGAACGATATTGCAATCGCATCACTTGCAACGCCTTATTAAGAGGGAAATGACAAAGTTATCACCTGTAGGAATGAAAAAAAAAAAAACAGCAAAGAATAGCAAGGAAATCTGTGACATCAGTTATGAAAAATCCAGGAAGTTTTCAGAGAAACTTTGGCAAGTGCCTAAATTAGAGGATAGGTTACCATGCCTTAAGATAGGTTGCACAATAGATGGGAATCCTAATTGAGAACATATTCATAGCAATGTATGTCTACTGCACAGCCTTGCAGGGGAGACTTCAACAAGTGCAGCAGTTGTCTGACATATAACATCTTGGATATAATACTGACACATGAAGAGTCATGAGGATGGCAAGACGAAAAAGGAAGACCAGTAGCCTAATATAGCTTGAGAGACAGGCTTCATATAATCTGAAGAATGAACAAGATCTAGGGATAGATATTGTACCAATTCCCTGTGGAGCACACATAAGCAGCGTACACAATGCTAGCCACAAGGAATGTTCATACATTAGTTGACATGTTAAGAATGCAAAACTCAGAAACAAAGAGCGTCTGGAAAACTTCAGAGCAACGAATACTTGAAAGTAGGGAGAGAAATAGGCGTAGGAGAGATGTGCTCAGCCTGAAGGAGCGGAGGAAAGCAAACTGAAAATCACAAAGCAACCAAAGCAAAGACTGAAGCTAAGTTACGCCACAAACATCTCAGAGAGAAGACAGCCGCACAATATCTGTCGCTCAGGCTACAGCCGTACAATATCAGGCGCTCAGGCTACAGCCGCACAATATCAGGGGCTCAGGCTACAGCCGCACAATATCAGGCGCTTAGGCTACAGCCGTACAATATCAGGCGCTCAGGGTCGAGGGGAATGGGGCCGTGCTCAAGAAAAATGACCAGGAGGAATGTGGGGGAACTCTACAACAGATTGAAGAATGTCTTTATAATGGAACAGAAAAGAAGCCATATTAAGAAAAAGACAGGTTTAAATCAGGCCAAGTTAGCAAGTGTTAAAATAAGAAGCGGGGTTCAATAATTACCTGCATGGAGAGGTGGGTGTCGACATGCTGGGCGAGTGAGTGAAGCAGGAGTCGACCATCGCGACAGTCCAGTTTGACACGTTGACTGTTGACAGTTTGGTGGGCGACGGGCGGGGCCTTCTGCTGTTGCATGATGAGGTCTTTAGCAACCTCGGTCTTCCCTTCTTCAATCCCAACAGCCGTTTGTCCGTCATCACCTCCATTAAGAACTTTAATACCACCATTAGTTAAAGAGCTCAGACCTTTATCTTGAAGTGCCTTCATTTTTTCTTCTAAATTAAGAACGCTCTTTATGCTACAAGACTTCTGGAGATCATTCAAGATCCCCAACACATCTGCCTGGACCTGCGTCAATATTTTTATCTTCTGGAAGCACTGTCGGAGATTACTGTGAAAGTCATGAGTCGTCTCTTTCACCGTCCGATCTATATACATAGCCTGGTCCTTGAGGGAGTGCTTCCTCTCCTCCAGGAAGGTCCTGGCGAGGAGGACCCGGTGCCCCTGGGGATGGTCGGTGTAGAGGCAGAGGCTGCAGAGGGAACTCTCACAGTCCCGACACCAGTACTTCAGTTCGTCACCGTGGTCCCGACAGCTGTCTTGCTGTTAGGAGACGAGGGGAACATTGCTATTATAACCGTTATCATAATGTACACACACACTCTGCTCTTGTAGCCATCATAATGTGTCATCACAAGATATCATCAGCATCATTATTATAACCAACGTCGATACAACGAGAAAATAAATAACCGCCTTCGTTACTACAAACACTTAGGTAATAGTATACAATGTGTGTAACAGCGCTGGTACTCACCACTCCACCAGCTAACAAGCCGATTTTTCTTGAAATATTATATTAAAAAAATCTTATGAAATGATAAAGCTTTCCATACATTATATATGATTTTTTTGCACTTTGAGTCAAAACTAACAAAGAAATTTGACCTAACCTAACCTAATTTATCCTAACATAACTAAGTCAGTAATTCATGTTACTAATATAATATATTATTGTTAGAAGAGAATCAAACTGAAAAGAAATATTTGAAAACAAAATTTTTCGGCCTGTTAGGCAAATCGGACCTTGTACACTAGGGCAAGTAGTATATGGTTTTGGCTGTTAGGTATGACATATATAACCACAAATTTACCTGGAAATTAAAAAAAAAACTGTGGAAATATACCTGAAGTTTGTTGTAGTTCCGTGAGAGATTTAAGACTTGGAAATTGACCAGCAGGTCCTTGACATCAAGATGACTGATGTCTCGGCTGCAGGTCGGACAGGAGAGGTCGCCCTTCCTCTGAACGCCGGCCACACAGGTGCGGCAGAAGGTGTGGCCGCAGGGCAGTAGAACCGGATCGCACGATTCCGTCTGGTAGACTGCTGAGCACATCTCACACATCACAGCCACAGACATCTTTTGATGGAATGAGGTCTGAGTTCTGAGAATCTGCGGAGGATCTTGCTCTTTGGAGCTGTCTGGAATGGAACGGGTGCTGTTTAGTGGGTGTGGATGTATGCAATCGAAGGGAAAATGCGTGTGTTAATGCCTCTGTCTACCCAGATAGAGGTATTAGTGGCCAGGATGACATGGTTGGACTAGGCTATGGCAGGTGACTGCGAGGGTCGAAACTGTCATTTCTGAGCACTCCCACTCTGCGACCAGGAGCTGAGTCATGCCCCATAGTGTTACATTAGTGACTGTCTCGTCACGAGAGCACTTTAGACCTGTCGGTATGAGGTATCTGGTGCTTTATTTCTACTGCATCTATTCTCGTGTTCTTGTACATTATACAAGTTTTACATTATACGTGTTCTTGTGCATTATATCCTCATAATACATCCACCCGGTGGATACAGTATCCGAAAGTGGCGTTGGTTCGACGTTGAATCCACTTTATCAGCGTCATCAATCGTTGATGATGACTCGGCGTGGAATAGGCTTTGCTCTTGAATATTATGCCCTGCACCGGGGCAGAGGTTGCCAGCGCGGGCTGATTGATCACATTTCCCTGTATGACAGACTGTCTAAAGTGATGGGGAGATCTGACAGCATCACACAGCTAGCTCTGGACAGGCAGTCCGTAGCCCTTCATATAGTTTATCAAACCCGCACAAATGCCCCACCTAACCTAAGAAGAATAAAAAAAACATTCTACACATACGTTGAAAACATTCATCCTCAGAGCTAACATTGTTGCTTAGGCTAAGTAGGAGAGAGAGAGATTGAAATTGAAATACGTTTATTAAGGCATATATATATATATACACACACACAAAGGGATGAGTTAGCTCATGCTAAAGAGAAATTGTTGAGAATTTCTCTGTCATTTCTATTTCTGGGTTTCCCACCCTCCCCTCAAGTGCCTACTACTGTTCACAATTTTGCACATTGTCTCCTTCCACAACTCTGACAGTTGACAGTTTCCCCATAATGTTAAGATTGATGAAGCCACCCAAGAGGTGGCACGGGCGTGAATAGCCCATAACTCTCCCATAATGTTATGTAGATTGTCATATTACCCTCGTTTCCTCCTTTCTCCCGGCGTGTTGAAGTACAGTTATCTCGGCCCTTCACTCTCGTTCATTGCCCCTCAGTGTAAACAAACATTTTCGCATATCTCTTGACTTGATCTAAGTTGATTGGAGGCGTTATTTAATGGGGGATATTCCGTACTGTCTGTCTCTCTCTCTCTCTCTCTCTCTCTCTCTCTCTCTCTCTCTCTCTCTCTCTCTCTCTCTCTCTCTCTCTCTCTCTCTCTCTCTCTCTCTCTCTCTCTCTCTCTCTCTCTCTCTCTCTCTCTCTCTCCTCTCTCTCTCGCTCTCTCTCCTCTCTCTCTCTCTCTAGTAGATAGTAATAGTAACAGTAAATTGACAGTCGAGAGGCGGGCCGAAAGAGCAGAGCTTAACCCCCGCAAGCACAACTAGGTGAATACATTTAGGTGAAATACGCACACACACACACACACACACACACACACACACACACACACACACACACACACACACACACACACACACACACACACACACACACACACACACACACACACACACACACACACACACACACACACACACACACACACACACACACACACACACAGTGTCACTACTCCTTTAGTGTCAGAGTGGTTGACAAATGGAATGCATTAGGCAGTGATATGGTGGAGGCTGACTCCATACACAGTTTCAAGTGTAGATATGACAGAACCCAGTAGGCTCAGGAACCTGTACACCAGTTGATTGACGGTTGAGAGGCGGGACCAAAGAGCCAGAGCTCAACCCCCGCAAGTACAACTAGGTGAGTACACACAGGATGAGTATGGAGTTAGGCCCTTAAACTAAACACTTTATTGCATTGACGCCGCTAGTTGTACCACTGACGCCGCTAGTTGTACCACTGACGCTGCTAGTTGTACCACTGACGCCGCTAGTTGTACCACTGACGCTGCTAGTTGTACCACTGACGCCGCTAGTTGTACCACTGACACCGCTAGTTGTACCACTGACGCCGCTAGTTGTACCACTGACGCTGCTAGTTGTACCACTGACGCTGCTAGTTGTACCACTGACGCTGCTAGTTGTACCACTGACGCCGCTAGTTGTACCACTGACGCCGCTAGTTGTACCACTGACGCCGCTAGTTGTACCACTGACACCGCTAGTTGTACCACTGACGCCGCTAGTTGTACCACTGACGCTGCTAGTTGTACCACTGACGCTGCTAGTTGTACCACTAACGCCGCTAGTTGTACCACTGACGCTCCTAATTGTACCACTGACGCTCCTAGTTGTACCACTGACGCTCCTAGTTGTACCACTGACGCTCCTAGTTGTACCACTGACGCCGCTAGTTGTACCACTAACGCCGCTAGTTGTACCACTAACGCCGCTAGTTGTACCACTGACGCTCCTAGTTGTACCACTGACGCTGCTAGTTGTACCACTGACGCCGCTAGTTGTACCACTGACGCCGCTAGTTGTACCACTGACGCTGCTAGTTGTACCACTGACGCCGCTAGTTGTACCACTGACGCCGCTAGTTGTACCACTGACGCTGCTAGTTGTACCACTGACGCCGCTAGTTGTACCACTGACGCTGCTAGTTGTACCACTGACGCTGCTAGTTGTACCACTGACGCCGCTAGTTGTACCACTGACGCCGCTAGTTGTACCACTGACGCTGCTAGTTGTACCACTGACGCTGCTAGTTGTACCACTGACGCTGCTAGTTGTACCACTGACGCCGCTAGTGGTACTACTGACGCTCCTAGTTGTACCACTGACGTCACTAGTTGTACTACTGTTTGCACAACCACTTGGGCTGGACGGTAGAGCAACGGTCTCGTTTCATGCGGGTCCGCATTCAATCCCCGACTGTCCACAAGTGGGTGGACACCATTCCTTCCCCCGTCCCATCCCAAACCCTTATCCTGACCCCTTCCCAGTGCTATATAGTCGTAATGGCTTGGCGCTTTCCCCCTAATAAACCCCTCCACCCACCCACCCCCTGTTTGGGAAGAAATATCTATCTATCAATGGGCAGAGTTTCTTTCACCCTATGCCCCTGTTACCTAGCAGTAAAATAGGTACCTGGGTGTTAGTCAGCTGTCACGGGCTGCTTCCTGGGGGTGGAGGCCTGGTCGAGGACCGGGCCGCGGGGACACTAAAAAAGCCCCGAAATCATCTCAAGATAGCCTCAAGATAGATAGATACATATATCTATAGGCAGCACAAAACGTCCACTGGTGGGACACGAACAAGGGGACACAGGTGGAAACTGAGTACCCACATGAGCCACAGAGACGTTAGAAGGAACTTTTTCAGTGTCAGAGTAGTTAACGGATGGAATGCATTAGGCAGTGATGTGGTGGAGGCTGACTCCATACACAGTTTCAAATGTAGATATGATAGAGCCCAGTAGGCTCAGGAATCTGTACACCAGTTGATTGACAGTTCAGAGGCGGGGACCAAAGAGCCAGAGCTCAACCCCCGCAAGCACAAATAGGTGAGTATCAGACTGTGCGACACAGTGCTTGCCAGGATCAGGTTGGGTTACCGTTACCTGTGGCAGGTGGCTAAAGGTGACGGATCTCTCAGTCCTGAGCACTCCAGGTGCAAACTCTGTGAGCAGGAACTGCGGCACGATCTCCCACACTACATCACCGAATGCCCAGTTATTATACCTTTCAGACTAGTTGGCATGAGGTACCTGGAGCTTTGCAATTACTTTATTCACTCTCGTGTTGATGATATCCTCATAATGCACCCGGAGTCTGCCAGTGCAGACTACTCATCACATGCCTCTGTATGACTAACCATCCTGTGTGATGGGGATTTTTAGCATCACGTAGCTAGCTTTTTGACACACTGTACTCCCCTTCATATAGTCTAGGGCAGCTGCACTAATGCAGATGTACCTAATGTATTAATAAAAGAAAATGGTAAGAAATATCAAACATCTTGCTTAATTGAGAGTCAGATGTTCCTTGCTCAATAGTGTGAAGATCGGGGCGTGCAATGCACTTTGGAAGCATGCATTGCCCAGAGGAATGCACATTGTGTCGTGTGCAACCCCTATAGGTAGTCGGGTGGGTGTGATAGACAGGGTAGCTGGGAGTGGGGGCGATAGACAAGATATCTGGGGTGGGGGTGATAGACAAGGTATGCAGGCGATGAGTCACAATAACGTGACGACGACGTTTCGGTCCGTCCTGGACCATTCTAAAGTCGATTGTGAGAATCGACTTGAGAATGGTCCAGGGCGGACCGAAACGTCGTCGTCCCTTCACCTTCTAGTGTGTGGTCTGGTCAACATAGACAAGGTATGTTACCTGGAGTCGGCGATAAGGAAGGCTGGAACACACACGCACCCAACCACTGCTCCTCAGGGAAGCTGCGACACTACTGATGGGTATCAGCGGGCCGGCAGGATATCAAGGTGGGTAGTGTCCATTGGTGTGTGTTCTACGCCCCTCCTCCTCCTCCTCTTTTTTTCCTTTCTATCCTCATCCCACAGTTTCCGCCCCCCTCCCCCTCCTCGACCCCTCCACCTAGCCCTGGCGCTGATGTGTGTGTGTCTCCCATATGTCAGTTTGGTGGCTTCTGGTACGTTGTTTACTGACAGTTTAGAGGTCTTATGGGGGTATTTTGTGACATGTGTGAAGGTGTATTGAAATGTTGTTCCTTATTGGTGTGTGTGACTTGTTATGTGTGTTCGTGTTCATTAAACTAGCGAGCAACTCACGGCAAATATTTCGTAACGGTGACCTTACAGACCAGTCCCATGCTCGCTCGCTCTGTCTCTCTCTCTCTCCCTCTCTCTCACTGTCTCTCTCTCTCTCTCCTCTCTCTCTGTCTCTGTCTCTGTCTCTCTCTCTCTCCCTCTCCCTCTCCCTCCCTCCTGCCCTTCCTGCTAGCCCTCACACACTGTGCCTCTCCTTCGCTCCCACTTTCCCTTCCTTCCATCTACCCCCACACAATCCTTTCCATAAACTATTCCTCCCCCTCATCGCCTATCCTCCCTCCCTCCCTCCACATCTAAACCCCGCCTATCCTCTCTCCTTCCGTCCTCCAGACTCCGCTGCTGAATGTACCTCTCAACCAGGTCTAGGACTCAGCTACAAGCCCAGGTGGCCGCCACGCGAGGCTTGAGTCGGTCCCCCAAAAACCTATCCTCTCCTGATCCCTATCCACCCAAACCCTTCGTTCAACCAGCTGGAGAACAGCCAAAGTGTTCTTCCGTAGCCATAACAGACCGCCAGGAATGTTCAGACTCTCTAGCTGTCCAACATCTGTACCACTAAAGGTTAATCATAGTCAGTTCAAGAGGGAAAAACTTGTTTGGAGCGTTGGAGGCCGGGGTTCCCTGGGCCAGCAGCTTCCCCCCGGGGTATGTTATGAAAGAGGAAACGTGTCTCTTGCGAAAGAATACTTCCGACTGTGTTGATGTTAGTCAAGCCTAATGGAAGGTAATGGTAGGTAATGGTAGGTAATGGAATACCTGTACCTCACTTTCTTTCCTTGTTAATGGGATTTCCTTATGTGTGTGTGTGAATTCTAATAGTTATGTTTTATTTCTAAGAAAGAAATGTAGATGTTTATCTCTCAGAATGTTTGGTAATATGTTTATTGTTTTTGTGATGTGTGTCTATGTATGTATTAACACGATGTACTGAACGGGGTGAGAATATTTATTTATTCATTTATTTATTTATTTATGCATATACAAGAATGTACATAAGGAATGTGAGGATACAAATATGGTAATTACAGTCTTGTAAAGCCACTAGCACGTGCAGCGTTTCGGGCAGAAACGTAGCTTGAGCTACCTCATCCCTTTGTGTGTATTTTACCTCAATAAACTTATTTCAATTTCAATTTCTAAGATATATTGAGTGGAAGATGTTACAGTGATGACTAGTATGTACGGTAATTGTGTATTATATAAAACTAGTAATTATGTTCAGTGTATTATCGGTTTTTGATGTAACCATATTGTATTGTTCAATATTTTACTATAAAAAGTGTTTCATATTTTATATTTTATATTTTATTTTATATATTATATCATATAATATTGCCGGAACAACTGTGGACATCTTCAAAAGGAAACTAGATTATTTCCTCCAAGGAGTGCCGGACTAACCAGGCTGTGGTGGATATGTGGGCCTGCGGGCCGCTCCAAGCAACAGCCTGGTGGACCAAACTCTCACAAGTCAAGCCTGGCCTCGGGCCGGGCTTGGGGAGTAGAAGAACTCCCAGAACCCCATCAACCAGGTATCAACCATATATAGTTCTCAGTTTCCTGGTGGCCTTCATGTTAGCATGACTTCCTTAACTCATGTTCCGGGTGACTGTACAGAGTCTTAGAGTATTATCGTCTCTAGCTCAGGTTCCGGGCGACCTTGAAGGTCAATACTCTCCTGTAGGCTCCCAATAGATGACATGGAGTCTCGCCTTCCTGGTCTGAGTTTCCACAGGTGTGCGTGGCTTCACACACACACACTTTCACTTGGTTATTCCTCTCGTTGTTCATTCACTGACGTGATCCAGCTTCCAGAGTCTGGTCTTCCTCGGACAGTAATGTTCCAGCTTCCAGAGTCTGGTCTACCCTTGAGCAGTAATGTTCCAGCTTCCAGAGTCTGGTCTTCCTCGGACAGTAATGTTCCAGCTTCCAGAGTCTGGTCTACCCTTGAGCAGTAATGTTCCAGCTTCCAGAGTCTGGTCTTCCCTCTGGCAGTTATGTTCCAGCTTCCAGAGTCTGGTCTACCCTGGGGCAGTAATGTTCCAGCTTCCAGAGTCTGGTCTACCCTGGGGCAGTAATGTTCCAGCTTCCAGATTCTGGTCTTTCCTCGGGCAGTAATGTTCCAGCTTCCAGAGTCTGGTCTCCCTGGGGCAGTAATGTTCCAGCTTCCAGAGTCTGGTCTTCCCTGGGGCAGTAATGTTCCAGCTTCCAGAGTCTGGTCTACCCTCGGGCAGTAATGTTCCAGCTTCCAGAGTCTGGTCTACCCTCTGGCAGTAATGTTCCAGCTTCCAGAGTCTGGTCTTCCCTCTGGCAGTTATGTTCCAGCTTCCAGAGTCTGGTCTACCCTCTGGCAGTGATGTTCCAGCTTCCAGAGTCTGGTCTACCCTCGGGCAGTGATGTTCCAGCTTCCAAAGTCTGGTCTACCCTCGGGCGGTAATGTTCCAGCTTCCAGAGTCTGGTCTACCCTCTGGCAGTGATGTTCCAGCTTCCAGTGTCTGGTCTTCCTCGGGCAGTAATGTTCCAGCTTCCAGAGTCTGGTCTACCCTGGGGCAGTAATGTTCCAGCTTCCAGAGTCTGGTCTACCCTTGGGTAGTAATGTTCCAGCTTCCAGAGTCTGGTCTACCCTCTGGCAGTAATGTTCCAGCTTCCAGAGTCTGGTCTTCCCTCTGGCAGTTATGTTCCAGCTTCCAGAGTCTGGTCTTCCCTCTGGCAGTTATGTTCCAGCTTCCAGAGTCTGGTCTACCCTGGGGCAGTAATGTTCCAGCTTCCAGAGTCTGGTCTACCCTGGGGCAGTAATGTTCCAGCTTCCAGATTCTGGTCTTTCCTCGGGCAGTAATGTTCCAGCTTCCAGAGTCTGGTCTCCCTGGGGCAGTAATGTTCCAGCTTCCAGAGTCTGGTCTTCCCTGGGGCAGTAATGTTCCAGCTTCCAGAGTCTGGTCTACCCTCGGGCAGTAATGTTCCAGCTTCCAGAGTCTGGTCTTCCCTCTGGCAGTTATGTTCCAGCTTCCAGAGTCTGGTCTACCCTCTGGCAGTGATGTTCCAGCTTCCAGAGTCTGGTCTACCCTCGGGCAGTGATGTTCCAGCTTCCAAAGTCTGGTCTACCCTCGGGCGGTAATGTTCCAGCTTCCAGAGTCTGGTCTACCCTCTGGCAGTGATGTTCCAGCTTCCAGTGTCTGGTCTTCCTCGGGCAGTAATGTTCCAGCTTCCAGAGTCTGGTCTACCCTGGGGCAGTAATGTTCCAGCTTCCAGAGTCTGGTCTACCCTCGAGCAGTGATGTTCCAGCTTCCAGAGTCTGGTCTTACCTGGGGCAGTGATGTTCCAGCTTCCAGAGTCTGGTCTTACCTGGGGCAGTGATGTTCCAGCTTCCAGAGTCTGGTCTTCCCTGGGGCAGTGATGTTCCAGCTTCCAGAGTCTGGTCTTCCCTGGGGCAGTGATGTTCCAGCTTCCAGAGTCTGGTCTACCATCGGGCAGTGATGTTCCAGCTTCCAGAGTCTGGCCTTACGCGGGCAGTAATGTTCCAGATTCCAGAGTCTGGTCTACCCTTGGGCGGTGATGTTCCAGCTTCCAGAGTCTGGTCTTCCCTGGGGCAGTGATGTTCCAGCTTCCAGAGTCTGCTCTACCCTGCGGCAGTGATGTTCCAGCTTCCAGAGTCTGGTCTACCATCGGGCAGTAATGTTCCAGCTTCCATAGTCTGCTCTACCCTGCGGCAGTGATGTTCCAGCTTCCAGAGTCTGGTCTACCATCGGGCAGTGATGTTCCAGCTTCCAGAGTCTGCTCTACCCTGGGGCAGTGATGTTCCAGCTTCCAGAGTCTGGTCTACCCTCGGGCAGTAATGTTCCAGCTTCCAGAGTCTGGTCTACCCTGGGGCAGTAATGTTCCAGCTTCCAGAGTCTGGTCTACCCTCGGGCAGTAATGTTCCAGCTTCCGGAGTCTGGTCTACCCTGGGGCCTGTACTGCCATATAGCTCCCTACTTTACCTGCAGAATATTGTTGTTGAGTTGAGCCCGTATGGTCAAGGTTGTATTTTCACCCGGGTGTTGGTCAGGGCCGCTTGGGCGTGGTTGAGGAAGAGACGAGAACTTGAAGGCTCACCCGGCCGTTCCTAAGTGCTTGCGTAACTGCTTCGTGCCTCTGGCCCCTAGTAGGTCATTAGGTCACGTTGCTGTGGTTTCTCAACTTGGAGGACGCTCTTAACAGCTCCTAATTGAGGAGTCTTTGTGGTATTGCAGCAGCCGATTCGCCTCACTAGGTTCTGGTGGTTATTGTTAATCAGAACTACTTTAAATTTGACGTTTATCAGGTCGTGAGAAAAGGTTGGGCAAATCGCCTTTTTCACTAATTTGCATTAAAATTAAATTGTTGTAATTTACAACTCCAAATATGTGCAATTAGCCTGAATTCCGCTCAAGAGATATTTCCGATAGGCATCGTATTTTGAAACCTGCAAAGGGGATTTGGGCAAAATATAAGCAATCGCCGTTTTCATCAATTTGCATATTTTTGGTATAAAAGTCGTAATTTATAACTCAAAATATGTGCAATCACCCTGAGTTCCGCTCAAAAATAACTCAAATTCCGCTTAAAAAATAACAGACTAAACAGTCTAAATCAATCATTTTTTGACATAAAGAGTAACATTTAACTTACAATTTAAAAGGTTAAGTTCATCTGTTCATCTTGTTCTTATTGTTCATTAGGCCTTATGCATTTTCCTCTTGTTCATTCGTCTAATATATCCATCAGTGTGAAATAATTTGAATCTTTCAAATTATTTCACACTAATTATTTCAGAACTATATTCTGCAAACAGTTCTCTAATTTCTACATTTATCCATGTTTCTGTTAATGCAATATTATTGATTGTTTTTGTGCCCCACAAGAACGCTTAATTCATCTGCTTTATTTGCAATAATCTCTGTATTTGTGTAATACATCTATATGGTTCTGTGTTTATGTTTGCCTCTCTCTCTCATTGAGAAATCTTCCTCTTCCAGCTCCTCTGGATGGAGAAGGAGAAGATATATGGATCTTCCTCTTCCAGCTCCTCTGGACGGAGAAGGACGAGACAGATGGATCTTCCTCTTCCAGCTCCTCTGGACGGAGAAGGACGAGACAGATGGATCTTCCTCTTCCAGCTCCTCTGGACGGAGAAGGACGAGACAGATAGATCTTCCTCTTCCAGCTCCTCTGGACAGGGAAGGAGGAGGAAGAGGCAACGGGTTTTGGGTGAGAGAGAAAAAAAACCCGTCACTATAACTTCGCACTCAACAATTCCAAACTTTTCTCAGCTAACTGACTGCTTGAGCGACAGGTGCAACTAATTTGGAATTCGTGTGACGGCGGTGGTGGAGGTGTTGTTGAGGCTGTGAGCGCGGGAAAGACCTGAGGTAAGTGCCCTTCAGATTTTGACTTTTGTTAGGCTTTTTCATGGAACTTTTTTTCTCGTCTGCTTTTATTATAACTTTAAGTTTATTATTTTTTTATTAAAAAAAGGTAATTGTTGGGTGGTTTTAGGCTTCAGGAGACACGAGAGATGGGGAAAAGTGACTTGAGTTATGGAATTAGTGTTATTTGGTGGCTTACGAAGGTGGTTGACCTCTGGGGTCAGGGGTTATATCTTGCGTAGAACTGAAACCAAACTGAACACTCGTGTTTACTTGTTGTTGTTGTTATAGATTCAGCTACTCGGAACAAGTTCCAAGTAGCACGGGCTATGGTGAGCCCGTAACTTACCTGGCACAGGAGCGGGGCAAGTAACGTGTTTACTTGTTGTTGTTGTTTAAGATACGCTACTCAGAACATCAAGTTCCAGTAGCACGGGCTATGGTGAGCCCGTCCTCGATGTTTACTTCTAATGTTCCGTATTAGTGCCTGCAGGAGAGTGAGGTGTAGCTCTCTACGCCCCGCTAACTAGCCTTGCTATGCACTCTTGTGTTACAATGTAACTATTCTGACGTTCGGCATCTATGTCGAATATGGCCTTAAGATTGTGGCTGGAGGTGGCTTCCACAGCTTATTTTTTTCAGTTCATTTATGTTTCGCTTCATGCAGGTCGGCGTTCAATCCCCGACCGTCCACAAGTGGTTGGGACCATTCCTTCCACCCCGTCCCATCCCAAATCCTTATCCTAACTCCTTCCAAGTGCTATATAGTCCTAATAGCTTGGCACTTTCCCCCCTGATAATTCCGTTCCTCTCACATTAAAGAGGTTAATCTTGTTCATCATTTCGCTCAGTATCTTGTATGAAGGGGACATGTCCTCGTTGTTCCTTCTCTCTAGAGTTATGAGACTGAGTTCTATAAGCTCTCCTCTTAGCTTAGTGTTGATGGTTCAGGCACTAGTCTTGTTGCAAGCTTCAGCTCATTTTCAAGTTTTGTTTTGTGTTTTTACAAAGTTCGGATTCCATGCCGGTGCTGCACACTCTGGTGTTTGCTTCCCGGACGCTGCACAGATTGTCTTGAAAAAGTCCTTATTTAGATTTTTTTCAAAAGATAAACTTCTATGAAAAAAAAGAACTTCTGATAAAACAAATAAAATTATTCCTCAAAATCCCGGTCTAATATTTTCCATCTTCCCGTATGTTCTTGCGGGGGTTGAGCTCTGGCTCTTTGGGCCCACCTCTCAACTGTCAATCAATCAACTGTTTTTTATTGTAATTGTGGTGTTGGTGGTGGAGTTCTGCCCACTCCCATATCTTCTTCTCTTTCCTGGTCCTGAAGAGGCCTTCCTGTTAGGGTATATTCATCACTATCTTACATGTTTGTTTGTTTATATTTGTTGGTGGTGGTTGTGACAGACGGAGGTAGTGGTGGTGATGTGGTGGTGGTGGTGGTGGTGACTGTGATGGTGGTGGTGGTGACAGGCGGAGATGGTGGTGATTGTGACTGCTGGTGGTGATTGTTACTGGTGGTGGTGATTGTTACTGGTGGTGGTGGTGGTGGTGGTGGTGGTAGTAGTGGTAGTGGTGGTGGTAGTGGTGGTGGTGGTGGTGGTAGTAGTGTAGCCGGCCTGGCGCTGCGCCGAGAAGGCCGGGTCATTTCATGCAGATTACTACGGGGAAGCTGGGAAAAGGTGTGCGTGGGAGAGGCGTGGTTTAGGTGGGAGGAGTCTATTGTGGTTGGGAGGGGGAGGGCGGTGTGCATGGGAGTGATGTGTGTTTGTGGGAGGAGGAGCCCTACCAACACTGACCTCAAAACAAACTGCTGTGGGTGAAATTCCCCAAGACACGATCTCATAGGACGCATCTGTGTGTGTGTGGGGGCGGGAGAATTTTAAATGGAAGGGGGAACCAGGGGAGGAAGGGGTTTGGGTGGGATGGGTCTGGGTGGGAAGGATCTAAGTGGAAGAGGTGGGGAAGTGTCAATTTCTGGTGATGAACGGGAAGGGGGCAGAGAGTTAGGGGCCACAAAACTCTGATTGGCTAAGATGAGACGAGAAATTTCAGCATGGGAGCAGGTGCATCTTGTCTCTCTCACTATTCCGGGAATTCATCAGTACCTGCACAAATCTGTAACAGGTGGTCAAATGTGACCTAGTTTCTCACAACTTGATCCAAAATTTTTCTTTCCAAAATACCATAGGTTGTCCCTCGTAGGAACGTTTTCTTTTATACAATTTCGCCACGGCGACTCTGCCTCCCTCGTATTTTGCATTCAATCTTCGTTCTTCAGAATGCGCATGCAAGGTGCCTGCGTGCTCGCGAACGCTGTGTGTCCGTGACGTGCCTTAAACCTTCTATATTTCCACCGAGCTAGGAGACATAGTTGTTTCTTGGTTCAGTGGAAACAGGAACCCAAGGTTCCTGTTTCAGTGGAAACATACGACCCCAGGTTCAAGGTCATGTGCTGTTTATATCCCCCGATAAAGATTCTCATTCAAAACAAAAACAAAAAATAATCCGTCTTTCGACCATACTAGACTAGTAGGGTTATTACTAAGATTTTTGGCCACTTGGATTTTGAATCGAGTAGTCATTCGCGGCTTCGGCGGGTAGGCGGTTCCATGGGTTTATTATACTTTGGGTGAAAACCCATCTGTTGTCTATCCTATACATTGTTGCTTATTGAAGCTGAAGCTGTATCTCCTTCAGTAACGTTGGTCCTATTAACTAGAGAAGTTGTCTGGATTAATATTTTCACAATTCTTCAATAATTTAACCCTTTCACGACTCCAATCGCCATCTGCAATTTCCTCTTATGCACAGTTTACTAAATGCAACTGATCCTTATAAGTTTTCAGTATTGTTTTTTAACATGTCCACCACGATGTAGGACTTTCAAATAACATAGCAGTTTAAGGGTTAAAGGTCTCGATGGGATCAGCCATGTCAAGTTCAAGTATGTTTATTGAGACAAGAAAGAAATACATCTCAAAGGGATAGAGTAGCTTAGGTTATTTCAACCATCCCAAGCAGCCATGTCAGGTTTGGTTTATAGTGTTGTTAGTTCCCGAGACTCTCAAACTTTCCTTTTATGAGAGTCGACAAAGTCATGGAAGGATTTTGATAGCTCGAAATCTGAGGATTTCTATTAAGTCTTATTAAAGTGAGTATAATGCTGGTATTCACTGTCACGCAGGACAGAGGGTCATACACAAGACCTACAATACATACAATAGGTCTAAACTGTTGGGTGAAGCACATATAGATCATGGTTACAATCAATGTTTTAATGTATGAATTTTGAAAATCAACTTTCTATTGTGCACTGCCACACAAGGGCAGGGATGGGTTCATAAGAGATGCAGCTTAAAAATAATATTAAATTGTTCTTTATTCTTTAAAATGGACAAGCAAATTTTGGATAAATTGTTAGGATGTCGTCCAGTACACCAGATTCAATGAAATAGTTACACAGTTAGTGGTACAAGAGGCCAGGAGGGCTAAAATATTTTACGGTTTCACATTCAACAATATAGTGTTCTAGTGAATGCATTGTCACAGAGTTTGCAATCTGAATATTCTGGTAGTGGCTCAGCCTCACTAACAGTGATTCAACGTTACCCCGAGCACGTTTTGCTCACTGGGAGAGAGAACGCGAGAGTGGGAGGGAGCCTGGGAAGGACTAAGAGGTAGAGAGAGAGAGAGAGAGAGAGAGAGAGAGAGAGAGAGAGAGAGAGAGAGAGAGAGAGAGAGAGAGAGAGAGAGAGAGAGAGAGAGAGAGAGAGAGAGAGAGAGAGAGAGAGAGAGAGAGGGGGGGAGGCACCTCCGGGTACCCCCATCTACTGACTAATAAAACTAGAAAAAATTTCGGACAAAATAAGCTCGTAAATATTATTTCGACGAAAAAAAGAGCTTAGATTGCTACGATATAAATGAAAAAAAATCGTATCCAAAAACAAAAAAGGGCTTGATGACTCTTGACTAAATTCCGCGTTATTAAAACATTATAAAATTTCTTGTCATTTAGAAAACAAAAAAAAATAAAAACCTGATCCTCCGCAAGAAATTCATCTGTAATTTTCGGGAGAGGCTACGAGCGAGAGAGCGGCTCTACTGGCTATGAGAGTAATGGAGAGCCGGTGAGTTGTGTGGTAATGCCTCTATTGTCTGACCTCTCACCAGATGGGAGCCACAACAATGACTGGAGACGGCGGCCTTGCAAGCATCTCCACCGTACGGGAAAATGTTGCATGGTTCGGGACTGGCCCAAGTGTATCATGTGCAATAGCAGGATGGCAGCCTCTCAAACCGATCTGGAATAGAAGTGATGACAGGCTGTCGAATCCACGTGGAATTGAAGTGATGGCAGGCTGTCGAACCCACGTGGAATAGAAGTAATGGCAGGCTGTCGAATCCACGTGGAATAGAAGTGATGGCAGGCTGTCGAATCCACGTGGAATAGAAGTGATGGCAGGCTGTCGAATCCACGTGGAATTGAAGTGATGGCAGGCTGTCGAATCCACGTGGAATAGAAGTAATGGCAGGCTGTCGAATCCACGTGGAATAGAAGTGATGATAGGCTGTCGAATCCACGTGGAATTGAAGTGATGATAGGCTGTCAAACCCACTCGAAATAGAAGTGATGGCAGCATCTCAAGATAGCCTATCAGTGTAATAGATTTTTCCTTTTTTTTAGGGATTTTTCCTGTGGGGGCCCTAAGCCTCTGTTGGCCCACTAAGTGTTATTCATTTCTGTCTTGGGCGGTGAATGAGTATTTGTGCCTCGTATGTTGGCTTGAGTAAGGTTATGTCCAATATGTTTAGCAACTTCTGCACTCGGTATAAATCTTATTTGGTTTGTAACTCTGCACTGTGTTAGGTAACGTTCGGGTGGTCTGTGGGGTATTTCTCCAGAATGCTGACATTTCCTCTCATCTTCTGGAATCTGTAAGTTATTTCCCATGCACATGGGTGTCTAAGCCTGATGCGGTGTAAGTACACTTCTATTTTTCGATTATTTCCTTTTATAAAAATAAGTGATTCATTGTTGAATTCTTGTAACAACCCCCAGATTCTGATGTTCCACCTGCATTATGGTCACTGTACACCTTCTAAATTGCTATATCTCTAATTATCGTCTCAATCTGTGCTAGACTTGGGGTGTGTGTAACTGTCTATATTCCTCCTCTTAGTTGAAACTTTTGAAGCTTCATCTCCAATGTCATTCCCTGGTATTCCTACATGACCCAACGCCCCGGCCAAATCCTCCTTCATCAGGGTAGAAATATCGAAAAGTCAAATGTAAATAAAAAAGGGAGAAAAAGAAAACCGTATCACTTGCTCGGAGACAAAGCGACCTGTGAGATCGAGGTCACGTTCTGGTGAATCATGGAAAATCAGAGATCTGGAATGTAAAATCTGGAAAATCAGAGAGTGAATGTTTTCGTGATCCATTATGTCATGTTACTCTAATGGTGTCTATTATTTTGTTTATGAGGGAGACCTAAACACCTCCACCACTCAGTGGCTCCTCAGGGAAGGCTTAAAGTTTCAGTTGGATACTAGTTAGGCATTTCTTGAGATTCTTTTTTTTTGTTGTTGTTGTTGTGTATTCATAGTGTAGTTGGTGGAGCTGCCGGCTCCCGCTTTTGTGGTCCCTGTTTCAAAGAGGCGATGGCCTTAATAAATTAAATATATATGAATTAAATGAATGAAATAAAATGAATTAATAATGAATGATAATTAATCAATTAAATATATATGTACATTTCATTCACCTGGGCACTAGGAGCCTTGAAATAAGATAACAAATAAATAAAGTTAAACAAAAGGAGTAAGATTACAAAAGTTTTTCCATCACGACTTTTGTGAAACAAAGTTTTGAACCATGAAGCAAGTTATTTTTTTTTCTTTTCTTCCCTGTTTGCATGAAAGACTATGTCTGTTCATTCAGCAGCCAAGAGGAAGTCCCGGCGGGCTATGAGCTACGGCTGCTCCAGCTGTGAAACACAGTTCACTACGGGCTCACCATAGCCCGTGCTACTTGGAACTTTTTGTTCCAGGTAGCGAATCTACAACAACAATGTGAAACACAATAAGCACCAATACCAAAGGGATTCAGAGTATCAAGAAAAGGTAGACATAACCTATTTGGAAGACAGTGATGTCTTTTTCTATGAACGAGTTCAACCAAGGCTTCAATAAATTGGGTCCTGTTGACCACTTCAAACGAACGGTGCAGTGATTATAGCTGAGTCTCAATATGTTTCCAGTTGGAAATGCATAGGGTGAACAAACCTGGGATGCTCTCGGACGTAGGTTCGAATCCTCGTCACGGCCCTTGTGGATTTGTTCATTTGATACATCACGCTATTGTGATTTCTGTGTGAAATGCATAGGGTGTTTACATTGCCAGTCACTGTAGTAGTAGGAGATGCTCCCAGCTGGCTAGGGTGTGTTGGTGTACGGCTGGTGCTTCTCCAGCTGGCTAGGGAGTGGGTGGGTGTGTATGGGTGGTGCTTCTCCCAGCTGGCTAGGGAGTGGGTGGGTGTGTACGGGTGGTGCTTCTCCCAGCTGGCTAGGGAGTGGAGGCTGGTGGCTGGCTAGGGTGTGTTGGTGTACGGGTGGTGCTGCTTGTTGGTGTACGGGTGGTGCTTCTCCCAGCTGGCTAGGGAGTGGGTGGGTGTGTACGGCTGGTGCTTCTCCCAGCTGGCTAGGGTGTGTTGGTGTACGGGTGGTGCTTCTCCCAGCTGGCTAGGGAGTGGGTGGGTGTGTACGGGTGGTGCTTCTCCCAGCTGGCTAGGGAGTGGGTGGGTGTGTACGGGTAGTGCTTCTCCCAGCTGGCTAGGGGTGATGAGAGAGCTAGCGGGGAGGAAGAGGGAGGAGGCTGGCACTCTTTTCCTCAACATTACATCAATAAGAAAATCGCTGGAGCCCAGCGGGGGATTACCCAGCATCCTGGGTAACCTCATCTGTCACCCACTAATCTTGAGGTTATCTTGAGAAGATTTCGGGGTTTAGCGTCCCCGCGGCCCGGTCGCGGGGACCGGGTCCCGCGTTAGTTTTGTTTGTGGGGGTTGAGCTTCGGCTCTTTGGTCCCGCCTCTCAACCGTCAATCAACTGGTGTACAGGTTCCTCAGCCTACTGGGCTCTATCAAATTTACTTTTGAAACTGTGTATGAAGTCAGCCTCCACCACATTACTGCCTAATGCATTCCATTTACTAACTACTCTGACACTGAAAAAGTTCTTCCTAACGTCTCTGTGGCTCATTTGGGAACTCAGCTTCCACCTGTGTCCCCTTGTACGTGTACCACCCATGTTAAATAATCTATCATTGTCTACCCTGTCAATTCCCCCTGAGAATTTTGTATGTGGTGATCATGTCTTCCCGAGCTCTTCTGTCTTCCAGCGACGTGAGGTGCAGTTCACGCAGCCTTTCCTCATATTATACATAAGTGTATAATAATTGGCAGATATATAAGGACAGGAGAAGAGCTTCTGTGTGAGCACGAGGTGAAGCACCTTGCTCACAACAACACCAGGTGAAGCACCTTGCTCACACCAACACCACCAGATGAAGCACCTTGCTCACAACAACACCAGATGAAGCACCTTGCTCACAACAACACCAGGTGAAGCACCTTGCTCACAACAACACCAGGTGAAGCACCTTGATCACAACAACACCTGATGAAGCACCTTGCTCACACCAACACCAGGTGAAGCACCTTGCTCACACCAACACCAGGTGAAGCACCTTGCTCACAACAACACCAGGTGAAGCACCTTGCTCACAACAACACCAGGTGAAGCACCTTGCTCACACCAACACCAGGTGAAGCACCTTGCTCACAACAACACCACCAGGTGAAGCACCTTGCTCACACCAACACTACCAGGTGAAGCACCTTGCTCACAACAACACCACCAGGTGAAGCACCTTGCTCACAACAACACCAGGTGAAGCACCTTGCTCACACCAACACCACCAGGTGAAGCACCTTGCTCACAACAACACCACCAGGTGAAGCACCTTGCTCACACCAACACCAGATGAAGCACCTTGCTCACAACAACACCACCAGGTGAAGCACCTTGCTCACACCAACACCAGATGAAGCACCTTGCTCACAACAACACCAGATGAAGCACCTTGCTCACAACAACACCACCAGGTGAAGCACCTTGCTCACACCAACACCAGATGAAGCACCTTGCTCACACCAACACCAGGTGAAGCACCTTGCTCACACCAACACCAGGTGAAGCACCTTGCTCACACCAACACCACCAGGTGAAGCACCTTGCTCACAACAACACCAGGTGAAGCACCTTGCTCACACCAACACCACCAGGTGAAGCACCTTGCTCACAACAACACCACCAGGTGAAGCACCTTGCTCACAACAACACCACCAGGTGAAGCACCTTGCTCACACCAACACCAGATGAAGCACCTTGCTCACAACAACACCAGATGAAGCACCTTGCTCACAACAACACCACCAGGTGAAGCACCTTGCTCACACCAACACCAGATGAAGCACCTTGCTCACACCAACACCAGGTGAAGCACCTTGCTCACACCAACACCAGGTGAAGCACCTTGCTCACAACAACACCACCAGGTGAAGCACCTTGCTCACACCAACACTACCAGGTGAAGCACCTTGCTCACAACAACACCACCAGGTGAAGCACCTTGCTCACAACAACACCAGGTGAAGCACCTTGCTCACACCAACACCACCAGGTGAAGCACCTTGCTCACACCAACACCAGGTGAAGCACCTTGCTCACACCAACACCAGGTGAAGCACCTTGATCACACCAACACCAGGTGAAGCACCTTGCTCACAACAACACCAGGTGAAGCACCTTGCTCACACCAACACCACCAGGTGAAGCACCTTGCTCACAACAACACCACCAGGTGAAGCACCTTGCTCACAACAACACCAGGTGAAGCACCTTGCTCACAACAACACCAGGTGAAGCACCTTGCTCACACCAACACCACCAGTTGAAGCACCTTGCTCACAACAACACCAGGTGAAGCACCTTGCTCACAACAACACCAGGTGAAGCACCTTGCTCACAACAACACCAGATGAAGCACCTTGCTCACAACAACACCAGGTGAAGCACCTTGCTCACAACAACACCAGGTGAAGCACCTTGCTCACAACAACACCAGGTGAAGCACCTTGCTCACAACAACACCAGATGAAGCACCTTGCTCACAACAACACCAGGTGAAGCACCTTGCTCACAACAACACCAGGTGAAGCACCTTGCTCACAACAACACCAGGTGAAGCACCTTGCTCACAACAACACCAGGTGAAGCACCTTGCTCACAACAACACCAGATGAAGCACCTTGCTCACAACAACACCAGGTGAAGCACCTTGCTCACAACAACACCAGGTGAAGCACCTTGCTCACAACAACACCAGGTGAAGCACCTTGCTCACACCAACACCAGGTGAAGCACCTTGCTCACACCAACACCAGATGAAGCACCTTGCTCACACCAACACCAGGTGAAGCACCTTGCTCACACCAACACCAGGTGAAGCACCTTGCTCACACCAACACCAGGTGAAGCACCTTGATCACACCAACACCAGGTGAAGCACCTTGCTCACACCAACACCAGGTGAAGCACCTTGATCACACCAACACCAGGTGAAGCACCTTGCTCACACCAACACCAGGTGAAGCACCTTGCTCACACCAACACCAGGTGAAGCACCTTGCTCACAACAACACCAGGTGAAGCACCTTGCTCACAACAACACCACCAGATGAAGCACCTTGCTCACACCAACACCAGATGAAGCACCTTGCTCACACCAACACCTGATGAAGCACCTTGCTCACAACAACACCAGGTGAAGCACCTTGCTCACACCAACAACACCAGGTGAAGCACCTTGCTCACAACAACACCACCTGATGAAGCACCTTGCTCACACCAACAACACCTGATGAAGCACCTTGCTCACACCAACACCAGATGAAGCACCTTGCTCACACCAACACCTGATGAAGCACCTTGCTCACAACAACACCAGGTGAAGCACCTTGCTCACACCAACAACACCAGGTGAAGCACCTTGCTCACAACAACACCACCTGATGAAGCACCTTGCTCACACCAACAACACCTGATGAAGCACCTTGCTCACACCAACAACACCTGATGAAGCACCTTGCTCACACCAACAACACCTGATGAAGCACCTTGCTCACACCAACAACACCTGATGAAGCACCTTGCTCACACCAACAACACCTGATGAAGCACCTTGCTCACACCAACAACACCTGATGAAGCACCTTGCTCACAACAACACCAGATGAAGCACCTTGCTCACACCAACACCACCTGATGAAGCACCTTGCTCACACCAACAACACCTGATGAAGCACCTTGCTCACAACAACAATTTAAGCTTAAAATCACTGGAGCTCGCGACGCCATCCTCGTCGTTTTATTAAAGTTCAGATGAGTTTTACAGGTAATACCTCGGCTTCAGAACCTTGCCAATATTGCCTTATTAAGTGGGTTGGGCGGGGTATGGCACCAGACTAGTCCCAGAGCTGAGAAGTATGAGTTACGAGGAAAGGCTACGGGAATTAACCCCTCAAGACCCTGGAAGACAGGAAAGTTAGGAAAGACATGATCACTACCTACAAAATTCTTGGAGAAATTGTCCGGATGGACAAAGACAACCTATTTAGCATTGATGGAACACGAACAAGGGGACACAGGTGGAAACTTAGTACCCACATGAGCCACAGAGACATTAAATATAAATTTTCAGTGTCAGTAGTTAACAGGTGGAATGCATTAGGCAGTGATGTGGTGGAGGCTGACTCCATACACAGTTTCAAATGTAGATATGATAGAGCCCAGTAGGCTCAGGAACCTGTACACCAGTTGAGAGGCGGGACCAAATAGCCGAAGCTCAACCCCAACTAGCACAACTAGGTGAGTATAGTGCTTGCCTACCTGTCACCCACGGGGAGGTGAGATCTAGCCTCACCTTCTTACACCTGTTGCGTTATAGTTTAAATATTCTAAAGTTATAATTCTTTATCAACTCTGATCTTAAAGTTGTGGATGGAGGAGGTTTCCACAACTTCTTCTTTCAGTGAATTCCATTTGTTGACCGCCCGTACACGGTTATCTTCTTGAGGTTATCTTGAGATGATTTCGGGGCTTTAGTGTCCCCGCGGCCCGGTCCTCGACCAGGCCTCCACCCCCAGGAAGCAGCTCGTGACACCTGACTAACACCCAGGTACCTATTTTACTGCTAGGTAACAGGGACATAGGGTGAAAGAAACTCTGCCCATTGTTTCTCGCCGGCGCCTGGGATCGAACCCAGGACCACAGGATCACACGTCCAGCGTGCTGTCCGCTCGGCCGACCGGCTCCCGCGGGTACGAGTATTTCCTTAGATTTCTTCGACTAATTTGCGCTTCCAGTTTCCACTTAAGTCCTCTCGTGCTACTTTCTCT